GATCAGGATCATTCTTGACAGTAACTTTATTTTTAAAAGAATCAAACCTCCATCTTGCAGGTACAACACCCTATCTCACCTCATCTAACTTCAGTGAGTGAATAGTAGGTCAGATTCGAGCCAATTAAACTGTCAATGTTAACTTTCTACTTTAGATTAACGTGCTATATAAATACAAGCTCCACATAGAGACGCTGGCTCCTGCTCGGCTGCTGTAATTATTGCCCAGCAGTCACTCTGTATTCGTCATCTATTAACGGGAGATGAAGGAGTGAGTCATATCACTGTGAGGACACAGGGCAGCTCCACTGTCTCGTTGTACTTCTCTAACTTTGTCTTTTAGATTCCTCAGCCTAACAGAGTTGTGCACGGGGGTCACTGTAACCGTGACACCAGTTGTTATAGCCAGCAATAGGTCCAAGCCTCGATAAGACACTAATCAGCTCTGTGATCAGACCTGTTTTCTTTCTATCTCGTTTGGGAGGCTTTGCATTGTGGGAACGTCACAGACGAAGTCTTTTACTCCACATCTCCGAGCCGATTATAGTGAGCGTAGCTTATATAAATGTATTACATGTGTTTCGTAATGACCGTGTGTGTTTATGTTGTGCTGCTGCCAACCCCCCCTCCCCCGCCCTTTGATTCGGCTCGCTTCAAAGAGCAGTTTGTTGCTTAAATAAAGGGCCGAGGGAAGATGGTGGCCTTGTTGCAGCATCAGAAGGTGAAGCATCGGACCAGTTGTGCTGCTGCATAAACACAAACTCATGTAGTGGAGCCCAGTTGTATAGAAAAATACATCGAATATGAAAACACAGTTTTAGCAAAACAACTTCAGGGTTCAGCATATTTAAGGTTTTAGTGCTCGTCCGAACTTTCCTTAAGCATGTCAATGATTTTGTTTCCTCTCCTCAACCTTGTTTTCCAGTGACCCACAAAGTGACGCAGGCGCTGTCGCTTTAAAGCGAACACCTCCCCCTCCCCCCAATACTGAAGCCCCCCCCCCTCAATCGAACAGATAACATGGACGGATTCTACGACCAGCAGGTCCCATTCATGGTCCCACCCAGCGTAAGTGGACACACGCCAGACGGCATCATGTCCTTGCATTGTTGACCAATGGTTCCACAGTATGGACACTGGTAGCCATGCATCACTGTGCGCTGCCTCTTGTCTGTTGGTGTTCTAACTTTTCTCCATCTTCTCCCAGCAGCACAAGTCTCATGTGGACGGACCATCTCACAACAGGCCTCTGAACGACAGGAAGAGGAAGTTTGTCGACACAGAACTCGCCCAGGACACGGAAGGTAACTTCCCCGGTGAAGCTCATCCCTGTGATCAGCATGATTTCATTTATGGGATTCTCATCTTTTTTTCTTTTTTTACTTTTCGTTTTCCAGAACTCTTCCAAGACCTCAGCCAGCTGCAGGAGATCTGGATCGCAGAAGGTGAGTTATATATTTATTCTATAGAAAATTCATTTTTCAACAGTTTCCTGAAAGTTGTGTTTTCACTATAATGAACCTTCCACAACAAGCAGCATCTGAAAATCGTGTTTATCTTTTAGACCTTTGTTTCTTAAAGGTGAACACAATGAAATTGGGCAAGTTTTAAGGTGAAAGATTAACTCGGCCGGAGTGTGAAACATCGCTATTTTTCAGTTAGCAATTAGAGCAAGAAGAGCAGAGTCCTTCGCATGAGAAACTGCTGACCATGATCTTTTTGTTTTGGCTTAAATTGACTTCTGCTCACTTTCTCTTCTTTTGATCACAAAATCCGAAGGAGCAAGTTTTTGATTTGTGCCTTTTTCTCCTGTGTCTTCACAGCCCAGGTGCCTGATGACGAACAGTTTGTCCCTGATTTCCAGTCAGATAGCTGTGAGTACCAGACTTCTGTTGTTCATCTGTTGATTGTTGTGATTGTGTCGTCCTGAACAGATTCTTGAACTGCCTTGGTGCAGTTGATCCTGATCATGATAAGGATTATTTAGCCCAGGACGGTTCTTTTTGTATTCACAAAATTCAAATAACCGTCATTAATCAGGCTGAAAATCTTAAAAATGTCACCACTAAAGGACTTTTTGAATTACTGTCCCTGGAAAGATGTCACCCCTGCAATACACTAGAATTCTTCATCCTTTTGAGGACAAACACCATCCTTCGTCTTCAAGACTCGACTCTCCCTCTCCTCCATTTTGAGTTTAATCAGCCGATTGGCATGGGGCATCACATGAGCCAAGCTCCTAATCTGATTTCACACTTTCTCGCACTCGAGCCCTGCTGCTGAAGTGGGCTAGATTCCAGTGGATAGTGGTGACTTCAGATCTGCCGGTTTTAAGTCTCCCAGAACCAACATCCCTCAAAAACCGTCCGTGCAGCCTCCTGCTCTGCTCTGCACGCCGCCTTTAGGCTGCAGTCGGGGAGGGGGGGCATGTTTGAATTATGCCCAATGGAGCATTTTATGTGCTCCCCCTCCCTCGCCTATGTCTTTCTGAGTTTATGTTTTCGTCTGATGCGTAGGAGATGGAGACAGGGTGTGGTTGCTGCCTCCCGTCGTCAGGGCTTTTAAATCTTGGTTAATGTGGCACGTCGAGCTGTAAACTGAACACTGGCCTGCAGGGCTGTAACATATTATTGACGTTGGTGCTTTGACATGTATGTATTTTGTATAGAGTGCCTCTTCCAAGGTTCTGTGTGGGTTTATTCTGACTGTTGTTGGGTCACTGTTAAAAGCCGTTGTGGTTTTGTCCATGACCTTGTGCCGTATGTGTGTGTGTACTCGTTTTTGCTGCCTCTGAAGGACCCTTTTCCAGTTTAAACACTGCCTTTGTCAGGAATAGTGGACCTCATGGGGACCGGAGCCTAATGAGGCATGTTTGAGGTCCTGGTTTAATTTTAGGGGGAAGATGTGAGTATATCCTGGTTACGGTGAGGGATAAGGTTTTAGTCATGCTGTCCCCAATGATTAGTTGTCATAGCAGTGTCCTTGATACAGGCCAGAGGAGTAATTTCGGCTTTCGTTGTTGCCGTTCTCTCTCTCTCAAATCCCTTATTCGACAAAACCAGAGCTTCAAATATGAGCTTCAGTGAGTAACAGCTCCTTCACTCTCCCTGGCCTGAACTGTACATGATTTACTTTTAGATGAAAAGAGAGAAGTTGCGGACGTGGATCCACTGAGATGCAACAGCACAAGAGTTTGCTGCTTTTTCATTAATCCCTTGCACCGTTCCAGAGTAAAAGAAGACATCTAATCTTCCCATTATTTACTTTTCTGTGTGTGTGAGGAGTCTCGCCCGAGCCATTAGGTTTTGCTGCGCACACAGGGGAGCTCACGTGCCCATTGTTAGCTCTGCTCAGGTCCATCAGCACCCTGGGTGATTTATTCAGCTCCCGCTCCTCTGTGCCCAGGGATCTAGTTTCTGCTTCTATTATGTGGCGCCCCGGAAACTGCCGCTGATATGCAGAGAGCTGCAGCCAGTGTCTAATGGTTACAGCCCCGGAGAAGAAAATCATTCACCGCCATTAGATTACAGCCACACTGATTCATGGGTATTGGTATTGCTTGGCCTAATGGGAATCAGACGAGGAGTTTGATAGCTTTTGTGTGTACAGTGCAGTTAGTATCATGCGACCTAGCGGCGGTGGATGGATGGCTGTTTTCAGAGCGCCGAGTCGAGCGTCATTAGGGCGGATGATAAATAGCTGCTAAGTGGCTCTGTCAGTTGGGGGGGGGTACACAGACGCTGTCCATGCGTCCATTTATCCATCAGATCCAAACATTGTTAAGATAACTGCTGCACTTCTGTTTATAGCTTCAATTAGGTGATATCTGGAGTTTATCTAATGCATTCTGTTGTTTCTCCGCATGTCTCCTTATATCTAGTGATGTTTCATGGCCCGCCACCAGCCAAGATCAAACGAGAGCTGACTCGCTCCAAAGAGCTGTCACCCTGCCGCCAGGACAGGAGTCCCATGCCCTACGGAGAGAAGTGCCTTTACAGCTACAGGTTCGTAGTGTCAAAGTCATCGAGCGCACAAAAACCACACACTGGATTGTTTATTGATTACCTGTCTCCAATGAAAAGAGTTCTGACTTTTCCTCTGCCCTGTCTCTTCATCCACAGTGCCTGCGACAGGAAGCCCACCCAAGGGTTCAAGCCATTAACTCCCCCCTCGACGCCGGTCTCTCCTTGTGGCCCCACCAGCACACCAGGAACGCACCCACTGAGTGAGCAGACTCCCCCGCCTCACTCCCATGTAGCCAATCCGACCCCTGGGCCCCGTCCGGTGCACGTACAACAGTCTATCACAGCAGGGCCGCCCAACCAGCAAGCACTCCCAGTCCACAGCCACAGCCCGCCCTTTGCTGTGCCCTGTGCACCCATCAGCCAGGATGCCAACAACTTCACACCTGAGCACAGGTAAGCATGCACCTCTTTGTCTAGTGGGACTTTGCAATTATTGCTGTATTTTGTGATCTTTTTGTGTCTTTCATGCATTAATCCAATGTTTTGCTATTTCTTCCATCTTAAGGTTCCAGAGGCAGATGTCAGAGCCATGTCTACCTTTCCCCCCGTCAGAGAGTCCAGTGCGCCCCCAGTTCTTGCCCCAGCCTCCCAGCAGCAACAACAACCTGCCACGTGACGGGCGGCCACCATACCACCGCCAGATGTCAGAGCCGCTGGTGGCAGTGCCTCCCCAGGGCTTCAAACAAGAGCTCATTGACCCACGATACACCGAGCAGGGCGTCCCCACCATGGGTCCGCCAGGTCCACCCCAGGGCCCTCAGTGTCAGGCGTCTTTCCACCCCATGGCCATCAAACAGGAGCCCCGTGACTACTGCTTTGATTCTGGTGAGTAGTAGGATTTGGAGAAGAGAATCCAATATGGAACTCTCTCACTACCAGTGTGAAAGTAGTTGTCCAGAGTTGAGAGCGAGCAGAGGGTGAGGAATGTGCCTGGCCATGTTTGTTCTGGGCACTAACACATGCCTGTGAGTTTTAGCATGCAGCAGAGGCCTGATCACACAGACGCTCATTTCACACGCTCAAAGACTCTGAGCCTAATCTGCGTTATTCCTCCAGAGTCACGGCAGTGGAGTAAAAGTGGGTCTTTTAGCTCCACGTAAGCCTCCAAGGGCAAAAAGTAAATGGGTCATCCAGCCAGGTGCAGCGAACCTCTTCGCTGAGCCTACCTGGAATAGATCTAGGCCAGTGCCCTCAGAGGACTTGGTGACCTGCAGCACAGCAAGTCGATTGTAGGACCCTGGAAATTCTCCACTTGGTTTTTACAGAAAACACAAAGAGGCCAAAAGATGCTTCCTCATCAATCAGTCATGACAGAGATGCTGTTTACTCGTGTTGTGTAAATCAAACAAGCCAGAGTGAGTGTGGGTGCGTTTGATCCCGGCACCCACACGCCCAGCTGTTGTCCCTGCTCTGATGCATTAGCACCATCTTTTCCTGAAACTCTGCAGCTTTTGTTTTTTTATCTTTATCTCGCTCAGCTGGTCTCATTCTTCTCCTGCCTGTTGTATGAGCGGCTGGCAGGGTAGTGATGTAATGACAAATCCTCTTAGCTTCTTTTGGCCTTTAAATACCTACGTCACAGGCCTTGTATCTGGAGATGGATGGACGATGGGCATGTTCAGTGATAGTTATACAGCCACAATTTGAATCCATGCACTAATGCATTGGATGGGAGGAGTTTTGAAAGTTTTTCTAGGACATAACAGTAATGATTACTTCCTGAAGACTCTTTCCTGACTTGAGGAAACACTCATTCATGATTGATCTGTGGACATCTTATCAGCAGACAGGAAATAGAGGAGAGGAAGGGACAGAAACGCTGCAAACGGAAGACAGGCCTCGACCCCCTCGGGGGAGGACTGGCATAACTTGATTGTCATTGAGATTTAATACAGCAAGCATGGTGCTAATCCCATTTAAGGGCTTGGCGGACATGCAAGGGATGTTGTGTGCTGAACAGTACTCTGATCTGGGCTTTGGTCCACCCCTCTGTGCATGTGGGTGGACGTTTTTCAGCACAGCTATTGGAGCTGCAGATGAAAATGGCTGCTGGTTGGACAGAAAAGCCGCCACCGCGTCTTTTGACCTTTTATTTCCGTACCGTATATTTGTCAGTGTGACCTAATGCACTAATATAGCTTGGCCTGGGTGTCTCTATAAACGAAGAGTGAAGCGCACGACTCGCAGATACAATATCAAAGCTGCGCATCTCTGTGCACGGTGGCAGGCATCCAAATATATCTGTCAGCTGTGAGCTGGATTTTGATGTATTACACATTTGATAGGGCGGTGAGGACGGTTGGTCTAAATTCATGCTCCTGTCTTCTTTGTTTACAGAAGTGCCTAACTGTCAGTCATCCTTTGGCAGAGCGGGGAGCTTCTACCAAAATAACCATGAAAGTAAGTTCAGATAATTGTCTTCCTTTGTATCCACGTTTAAATTAAATTCATCCTCTGTGACCCTGAACCTTGTGACTTATCGAGCGGCTGAAAACTCAGCACGGGTGATAGAGTAGCGGTCGGCAGCATTGAAATGGCAACTCAAGGGGAAGTTAATCTATCAGTGAATCCTTGTGCAGCTGCCCAGCCATGTTGCTTTGCATGCAGTTTTGATCTGAGGTCATTGGAGAACACCTCGCTCGATCTGCTGTTGCACTTTCATCTGATTCTTGATGCATTTCTCCCTTTTTTTCAACGCAGGCTTCTCCTTCGACAGAGATCCTCAGCTCTACTTCGATGATACCTGTGTGGTCCCTGAAAGATTAGAAGGTAAGATCAAGAAAAACTAAGATTTTCTAAAGTGGGCTCATGTGAGCAGAGCTGAGTCCTTTTGGCTGCTCGTCGTACAGAATGAACAGCGAGTCCTCTTCACAGTCGCCATCTGGCAGGAATGTCTCACCACACTGTGGCCGTGGTGGAGCACAGCGCTGACTGACACGTTTCTTTTTCTTCGCTCTTTCCCCTTCTGCCTCTTCATCTCTTTCTGTCCATCCTCGCTCTTCTTCCTCTCGCAGGTAAAGTAAAACAGGAACCTTCTGTGTACCGTGACGGACCTCCCTACCAGCGTCGCGGCTCCCTGCAGCTCTGGCAGTTCCTGGTTACTTTACTGGATGACCCGGCCAACGGCCACTTCATAGCCTGGACTGGTCGCGGCATGGAGTTTAAACTCATAGAGCCAGAGGAGGTTAGTTCCCGCTCTGTGCAACTGCATGAATGTTAAAACTTTAGAGTGCAGATTTGTGATCTATCGGTTCTTTCTCCTCAGGTGGCTCGTCGCTGGGGCATCCAGAAGAACCGACCAGCAATGAACTACGACAAGCTGAGCCGCTCGCTGCGTTACTACTATGAGAAGGGCATCATGCAGAAGGTAAAGGCACGTTCACCCCTTTCTTTTCTCTCTGTCCGCACTCCTCTCCCAGCAATAGTGAGCTGACTTGGGGGGTGCTATGACATAGTCTTATAGCAGCTAAATAGTTGCAGTCAATATTAGCCTGCGGGCCGCCGTCTCTTCTTCTACGAAATACATGAGTCTAGCAACTTGTTCCATGAGAATCAATATGTCTATTGTGTTGTTTCTCAGGTGGCTGGTGAACGATACGTGTACAAGTTTGTGTGTGACCCCGAGGCTCTCTTCTCCATGGCCTTCCCCGACAACCAGAGGCCCAACCTGAAGGCCGACCCGGACAGCCTGCCGGGGGTGGACGATGACACCGTGCCCCTCACCCACTACGAAGAGTCCGCTCCCTACCTGCTGGACTCCGGGGAGCAGTGTGTGGCGGGCCTGCCCTTCACAGACGGCTACGGCTACTAACACGTGGCATCAGGCGTCCAGACGCATGACACACACGTACACGCCAACACTCCCAAAGTCTCTCGACGCCCACTCTTAAAAGAAAACCCAGAGCTGGACCTGGCGAGCTGCTCGGAAGACGGGACCTCGCGCTCTGCTCTGTTCCTTCTCCTGCTCCCTGGAAAACCTTTATTAAAAACTCTGTTCGCTCCCCAGCCAAGATTGAACAAGGGAAAAACCTGCGACGGCTCTTCTACTGCACCATCACATGAACGACGGAGAAAGAGAGAGAGGGAAAGGGATGTGAGGCCGGTGACATTGAACTGGAATCGGTCGCTCTCACAAGCTTAAGGAGAGGGGCTACTGTTGCTATGGAGACCAAACGAAGCGAGGCCACAGCCCGCCAAATTTAAACGAACTGGCAGACTTTCCCCGCCGCGCCCCCCACCCTTTGTACGAGACTGCAAACGTTGTTACATCTGATTTTGTGACAATCTGCTTATCTTGAATACAATCGAATAAGAATTAAAAACATTAAAAAAAAATCTAATGAGAGATATAAAATGCAGCATTATTCTATAGTTGCCTTTTTGGGATCCCACCCCCCACATTTTTGCATCACCACATCTAAACTACAAAATCCGTGAAAGGGCTTTAAATTGCAAAAATAAAAAACGGATTAACAAAAAATATTATTCTTCACCCACAAATGATCTTGTGTTCTGTAGATAGGACAACGGTTTTATTTTAGAGACCCAGAACTCTCAGGTTTCTGGGGCGATGCTGTATTTCAGTCGGTCGGGCTGCTCTCTTGTGTAAATGTTATGTTCTTTAATGGTTCTCCACTTGTAAGAGATTGTATCTGCTTCCCCTTAGACTGCACCCTACAGTAGGAGCCCACAGTCTATACACTCCTCTAGTCTCTGTTCATTACTGCTGGGTCCTTAATCGCTCGACTTTCAGAGGCGATTAGCACTCCATCTCCTCCATTTCGAAAGGGATACATAACACGTTTTTTGCCAGATAATTCCCTAAAAAGCCTAAGAAGTTATTATGTATGATAAATGGTCACGTTGCTCCTCTTCTTTTTCATAATTCTGTCTCGGTGCTTCACGTTTCCTTGGCAGTGTACTCGTCCCTCTGATGCACCAGTATGGCAGGAGCATCAGGAAGCTGCATGCAAGTTAAAAAAACAAAAAGAAAAGAGGGGTGGAATTTTGACGCCCTTTTTTTTGGACACCTCTCCACCAATCACGAGCTGTCAACTGGAAACCTCTGCTTCTCTTTGCATGGTGTAATCAGTCGAGACTGTGTGCCCACTAACATATCGCTTTACCGTCTCTGGACAACGAAGATATTTGTGATATTCTCTGCAATTTTCTTGTGTTCATGATCTCTGTTTCTGAATGGGGGCAAAGACAAACTTATATAAAGTATATATTTTTGCTATAAGGCTGCATTTGTTTTGTTTTTAATGTATGAGCTGTATAGTTCTGGCTTTAATAGACATGTACCTTTTTAAAAACCCATCTCGACCCTTACGATGCAACTTCTGCAGACTGTTTCTTCAGGAGAGCCCCGTGTCGGGGTCGGAGAGTGGATGAGGAGTTGTTACTATCCGACTGCAGATGTGTGTCTATGCAAGACGCACGGCATCATGGGATCCACCCCAGGCACAGGGATGATCTGCACTTGTAAAGGCTTCAGTCCACTCCCCTCACAATGTGTTTCTTACACTGCTGAGTTTATAATAATCTGTACTGGGTACAATAAACGGTCCTCTATGCTTCACTGCCTGCAGTCCTGGTGTGTTTCATCACTCTCTCCCCCACACTCCTGTTTGCAGTCGGTCGGTCAGCTGACTGGCTGCTGGTCTGGCAGTCACTGTGCTTGACCTGACTGATTTCTGAGTCACATGCCTCTCCTAACTGGCTCAATCATTAACTCTCCTTTAACTTGTGGCAAATGGGAAAAACATCCTGGTTCTCGACACTGTAACTGGTGTTTACATTGATTAAAAAGCACTGAGTCAATTTCATATGCATTCATGTGTTTGTGTGATAAGTATATCACATATGTATAGAGTGTAGTTATTTAGGTACGTAAGCATCACTCAGCGTGGTGGTTATTCATCCAGTAGTTTTTATTAATACCTTATATTGCACACTCTAAAATTTAAAAAAGAGCACAGTGGAAATGATCAGACACCCCTTGTAGAATATACAA